GTCCGGTGTACCGGGGGTGGGGGGGGTCCCCTGAAGCCGTTCCTCCGCCTCCTTCCACCGGGGGGTCCCCGGGGGGGGGTCGGTCCGTTCCCCGCCCGGGGGGGCGGGTGGTGGTTGGTTTTTGGGTGGGGTCTCTAGAAGCCGAGGGCGGCCCCGGGGGGCAGGGGGCAACCGGAACCGGCGTGGTCCCGGACGGAGCCGCGGAGCCGGCGGACCTGGGCGCGGAGCCCGGCCGCGGTGGCCGCCAACGCCGCGTTTTGCGCCCGGAGCCCCCGGACGCGTTGCTCCAACCGGGCGATACGTTCCAGCTTCCTCCGCCGGCACCGGCTGGCGGCCAACCGGTTCCTCAACCGCCGCCGCTCCGCCTGAAGCCTCTCCGGTGAGTCCGGACCCGGTTCCGCCGCCTCCGTCTCCGGGGCCGCTCCGGGAACCCCCGGGAAAGGGCCGCCCCCTCCCGCCGCCGCCGCCGCCGTCAGTCCCGGAGGCTCCGGTAGCGCCACGTTGGGGGGTCCCGGTTGATGCAGCTCATCCAGCGCCTGCGCGAAGCTACCGGGATAACTGTCGCGGTCTCCCGGTCCGGGATAGAAGAAGCTGCCGGTAGCGGAGCCGCCGCCGAAGAAGCCGCCGTCGGGGCAAGGCGCCGGTTTAAGTCCGCGGTAGGGCTCCGGGGGGGGCCCCGGGGCCAGCGCTCCCGGTAGCGCCCCGTAATCGGTGTCCGGTCGGCAAAAACCGCCCGGGAAAGGCGCGGGACGGTAGAACGGCGGCTCCATCCGCGCACACATGCGGCCGCCACCGGAGGGGAGAGGAGGAAACCGAGCACCGGGAGCGGAAGGTGACGGCGGGGATCGAACCCGCGACCCGGCGCCCCCCGCCCGCCTTATACCCGCCCGCGGCGGAAGCGCGGTCCCATTGGCTGAGGCGCCCGAAGGACACGCCCCCTCTGCGCCGGGACACGCCCACCCCGCCGCCGTGGGACGCGCCCCCTCGCGGTAGGACACGCCCCCGTGCGGGAAGGGGCGGGGCCACGGGGGGGGGGAGACACGCGTGTGTGTGTGCAAGGGGGGACGGGGG